AGACTTTCCAGAGAGTACATGGGAGAGGGCCATGCGGTGGAGGGAATGCTTTTGAATCTGCCAAGTTTTGTTCTTGGTGAACCCGACAGTGTTGTCTTCCTTCAAAGTGACTTTGCAATCCAAGTCGAATAAGGACACTTATTGAAGGATATTGTTGGGATTGCAATTGAACATTTAAGTGTAAGTTATTCAGATGTCGCGACATTTCCTGGCTCCTGTGCGAGTTCTGTCCGTCCTTCGCTGGGCCTCCTTCATTGTGCTTGATTCGGTCATCGAAGATAGCTGAGAGCACACTGGTGTGGAATGAACGAACATGTGCACAAAAGCTTCTTCGCAGTGTCCTTTTTGGAGTGGTAGTACCTACAGTGGTAGCGTCCGACTTTCGGACACAGGCAAGACTTTTGACAGAACATGCACTAAAATCCCACATTTCATAGTCTGTTGACAGAGAATTAGGCAAGACTTGTAGGATCAATCGAATCAAAATACAAAGAGTATCGAAGAGTGAAACTTATTCACACTGAGAGTTATAACAGCGGTCAAACTGATGCGTGTTCTGCTAGGGTTCCACTGTGAGACAGACCAATCAGTCATGGCCTCATTCAAGAATGCTCAAAAGAATGTCAAGCATTGGGCCTTTGTGGCGCAAGGCGGAGTATCGGGAGTCTGTTCTATATGCTTTGGAAGGACACTGTGCCTCCCAACCGGTCCCAGCGTGAGCTGCTCACAGATTCCTTACACATTCCTCATACTCTCCTCCTTTGCTCTGATCAAAACTGAGCACCTTGAAGCTGGGAAGGAGTTGAACTCGTGGGCCGGTAGGGAGGCACCTGACATTTGGTAAATTTTGATTTCCAGGGCAAAAGACCTTGGCGGAACGGCCCGGAACGGCCGGCCCTTTCTGGGGTCGTAACGGCCGTGTCCTCGGAAAAAATCGGGTGGCCAGCGCTCGTTCTTTCATGTTTTTCGTCATGGTTCAGAGTTCTTCAAGTAGGGCTGAACTGGCCTTCCAAGGTTCAACAACTTGGAGTTTTTTGAGCTAAGACCAGCTTCCCAGAAGCCCACGTCCAATGATTAAACTTGTGAGGTCGAGCATTCAATTCAATCAGAAGTCGATACAGAAACCTCGTGGGTGCCGTTTATCCTGTTTCCACCGTCTACTGCCCCGGGCGGCGCGGAGCCCTGCGCCATTGGAGCATCTGTTAGACCATCAGACTCTGACGTTTGTATTCGGCGCACCTCCAATCAATCGATGGGATGTGGATGAGTCGGCAGCTGCACTTGTGTCTTTCAATGTGGGTTTCCGAAGCATGAAGCAATATATATATATATGATATATATATATATGATTTTCGTTCCATTCCAAGACATGCCCACCTCAGTTTGCAACTTGTCGGGTCTCTGACAAGATAAGAATATGTCAGCGCCCGGAAAAAACGGTTTCCATCTTGAGAAACACCCAGACCTGCCTGGTACATTGTTGCATCGCCCCCCCCCTCTCTCGTGCGGTTCAAGACGGCGGTCCACGTGACCCGCTCTCTTCGGCCCATTCGTGCCTCCCTCCTGGTCGGAGCGTGAAGCCACGCGGGGGAGAGTCCCGCCCATCGGAGCGAGCATCGGAACGAGCATCGGAAGGATGAGGGAAATGGCGGCAGTCATCCTGGAGGGAACGGAGGAACTGAAAAGTGAGTTGAATTGACCATGAGAAGACTGGGAACTCACCAGACTGGTGGAATCCAGGTCCACAGGTCCGGCCTCCCGCATGCTTGCATCACATGGCCCAAACGAAGGAGCTTCGGTGAAAGCATGGGAAAACCAGAGACTCGTCAAGCACGGGAACACTCGTTGTAGATGAATGGTTCAGGGAGTTCGATGAGAATCCGAGCATGCAGCATACTCATGCCTACATCAAATGCGCCGTAAAACAAGGAAGTGATGAGTCAAAGGATCAGGGGGGGCATGAAGAAGACAGAGCTACAAGATCTGGCTTCCAAACCACGTAGGAAGGAGTAGAGATCAAGCAAAGGAGGGATATTCTTTTGGTCAAACGTTCGCCATGTTGCCTCTGAAGCAAGACGAGGAGGAGCTCTTACATTTGTGGCCAAAAGAGGTGTGCGGGCCGGGATTGGCGTGTCTGATGAAGAATTGCATGTCCCATCATGTCCCAACAAACCGATTTGCAGGGTGCTACGTGGCGGTAAGGGATGCCTGCAAACTACTGTATCTTCGCTCACCACCTGATTTGGGCGTCCAGTCCAGGAAAAGAGATGCTGTACATGTTGATTCTATCGTATCTTTTCGTCCTAAACTTCGATGTCTTTGGGGTTTATTAGAACATCGGCGATCGGGAGAACACACCACCACACACAGATTTGCAAGTCCAAGGATCCCCAGTCAGAGTCTCTCAGAGAGCCAGAAGCAACCCCTATGACCTGATTTTAGACTACGTTGTTTGACCTTGCAGTTTGGCGATTTGTCTCCGCTCGCTACGCTCCCCTCCCCACCCATTGGCATCTCAGCCCCCCAGGTTGGCCGATGGCGCTTGGGGCTGCCAGCGGCCTCTTTCGGCTTGGCCGTCCTGGGCCTTCTGGGCCTTGGCTTTTGGACCCGGCAAACGGCGGAGAGGACGGGCGGGTGACGGCGAACGGCGTGGGCGGCACAGCGGCTCGCCAAGCCTTTGAGGAAGAACACGCCGAACCACACGTGGTGGTGCGGACGGTCCACTGCACACTCCAACACCAAAGAAAAATGCTCTTCAGTGCCTTTGACGTCGCCCTACGGCGGCGCGAGCCCGATAACAGCGCTCCCCTTTGAGAGCGCTCCCCTTACCGGCGAGGTGGCGGTTCGGCGTGAACGCTCAAGTCCCGTCCAGAGTCGGGACTTGGAGATCTGAATCAAACTGAACCCACCCGGATCATGGATGATGATGATTGTGGAACCTTTAGGTCTCAAGAACACCTCCGACCCTGGAGCCTGCAGGATTCCCGTCGACGCAGGTCACGTGGCGGACGAGGCTTCGAGGTCGGTTTTGGTTCTCCCCCAACACCCCCGGGGGTCGGATGGACAGGCTTGTGTGCCAAGCCCCGCAAGCAAGCGGACGCACCCTGAGCCTTTTGCCTTCCGTTGACTCGACGATCTGAGCCACATCAGTCTTTCTGGGCTTGGTGCAGGAGCATCGATTGGGAGGAGATCTCGTCGGATTGGGAGGAGATCCCTGGCATCGATGAGATCATTCATCGAGCCGAAGGCGATGCGACCGCGCGACCGCGACGCGACACGGACGGGTCCGAGCGGCGCTGGCGGAACAGACAGTTGAGCGACATGGGAGCGACGTTTTCCGCCGATGTTGCGAGCCATGAGTTGAGTAAAGATGGGTGGAAGGCGAAGTTTGGGTGACCAGGTGGAAGGCGTGTTTGGTCAAGAAGGTTTGGGTTTTGCAGGAAGAATGGATGGATCACTGGGCGTAAAGGGGGGATTCTCAGCGTCCGAAGACGTTCGAAGTGATTTGAGATGCTACACTCCAGCACACGCATGGTCACGACCTATAGAAGCTGAGGTCCCAAAAAATAATGAAAGGACTCCGCATCCATTGAGGGTCCACGGTTGCCACGCCCTGGCGAAGATCGTGCACCGAACGAGCACCGGGCAGCCCGAACGGTCCGAACACCGCGTCGGACCCACGCGACCGACGTCGGTCCGTCGTCAGGCCTGCCGGTCTGGGCCACGAAGAAGGTCCCCCGTGAGCTGTCGGACCTCTTCTACGGCTCGAACCCTTCCGAGATCCCCTGGGCCGGGGGCTGAAGGGAGTCAGTACGCGGCATGGGGGGAGCTCGGGAGGTTTTGGGAGCGTGGGGAAGTGGGGGCTTGGTGAGGGAGTATGTCTTTTAAGCGCGGTTGAGGTTCATCGAGGTTTAATGAAATCCTTGGGCCCACAGAACTTGACTGGGCCTTTTTAACAACATCAGAGTCGAGTTGTTCAGAGAGAATGATTCGGGGAGCATTTCCTTGCACTAAGAGGTAAACAGACGGACTGGACTTGACCAGGAAACAGAGCAATGAGACGATCCCATGAGCTAAAAACCTCTTCCTCCTTGGCCCAAGTTGTTGGGGTACCAAACCCTTAGGCCCATTGGGTCGATTCAGAACCATCGACGACGGATGCCGTCCGTGGCTGGCCTTAAACGGGACGCGTGGCTGGGCCAAACGCGTCCCGTTTTCTCCGCCTTTTTGGCGGAGTAGTTGCCGTTCCAAGGTCAGGTGTGCGGATGAGACCTTTTTGGAAGACCAGAGATATTCGTCGGACTTTCACCGGTGGATTCCACCGGGTCACGCACGGGTTGCCCTGCCGGACCGAGCGACCGAGGCGCGCACGGAGTGTGTCATCGACGTGGTCCAAGCGACGTCCTACCTCGGCCAGGGCGTGGTCTTCCTCTACCGGGTTGGGGGGGCCGCGTCATGCGCACTGTGGAATGACACACCCCGGGAGGGGGGGCTAAGCGGCTAGATGTACTTGTACAGATTCATTCTACATATTTCGTCCATTGACAAGGAACCAACCGTTGAAACCAGACATGTGACATAGGATGACATAGGTTTGCTTGGTGTTCTCCTGATCATCGATCAATCGACAACATCACATGCTATCACCTTGTCACGCAAACAAGCACAGCCGAAAAACACAACTTTCCGCGTGAGGCAATCAAGTACGATGGCTGGCAGTGCCCAGACAATTCCAATGTGGGCTGTGCCATCAGCGTGTCTGGCTTTATCGCCTCAATGTTGCCCCGCCCGATGAGAGCAGCTTTTTTGGGGTGGAGGGTGCGGTTTGACCTTTGCTGGCACTGTGATGTGCCGGTGGTTTGCTGATTGTTTTGGACCTTTCCTTGGAATGTAGAGACTTTTGATCTCGGTGAGCTAGATCAGGTATCATTTTGGATCATGCCCTAGCGAGAACCCTGGGTATGTAAAGCGCAATGCAAGTTTTGATGCTTCCTCCAAAGCAAGTGCAGGGTTTTGCCGTTGGCTTTCTGTTCAAAGAATGAGTGGTTGGAGGCAGGACATGTACAGCCTTCATCGTCCGTGGTCGATGCAGCCAACGAAGGGGGACATGGCGTGCAGAAGAGGGACATGACTTGAACAGATCGGAACGATTCAACAAACAACTTCTATATATTAGCCAGGAGTCACATGTCGGGGTGCTATCCATGGAGGTTCGGTCGGGGTGCCCCTGTCACATCCGCTGACTGGATGGGCCGAACCGACTAAACACCACCCAACTGTATAGAACAAAAATAGATAAAACAGAATACCGCAGATTCTACATTATTCATGCATATATACTTGACAGGTCAAGGACCTCACTCTGTCCGGTCATGTAAAGGCAGTACTCAATGAGGTTACGGTTAAGGACCAGTTGTTACCTCCTTGGACCCGTTGGGGACGCCTTTCTTGAGGTCCGGACCCCTGGAGGGTCGGAAAGCAAGCCGTCAAAGACCGTTTAAGGACCAACACGGGCTACTATTGCTCTGGTCAAGTATGTTCAATCACTTGGCACAAGCAGGTGCGGAGAAACCTCTTCTCCAACCACTGGTCTACTCATATTTTGAAGCACAGTTGATTCACTTTCACTCCCCAGGCTGCATCACTGCAGGTTTTGGTTAGCCTCCTACCTCTCCTTGGCCTCCTCCGCCTGCGCGGACTCCTTGAACTCCAACGGCCTCTGCGGCGCGGACTGGCTAGCGCTCACGGCGGACTTTGCGGAAGTCGCCAACGCGGGCGCGGGCATTCAAGAGGCGACCGGTGCGACCGGTCTCGCGCCCGCGTCGACGGCGGGTCGCGTGCGGGTCGTCGCCTTTCCGGGTAGCCCAATGCCATGCGGGGCGCGGGGCGCGGGGCGTGTGGGGAGGATTGTGACTTTGGCAAAGACTGGATCACGCTGCTCAACGTCACCGGTGATGTGCCAGGCGCGCCGGTCGTGGGTCGCGCGGGTCGGACTGGGGTGCGGTGGGGGAAGGCACTAAGTACGTGCACATGAGAACGAGGCGACACAAGGGAGCAGATGCTTGATCCTTTGGAAATTGAAAAGATTACTGTAAAGATGTGGAATCATTCAAATACGCTATTTCTTATAAGTGAATCATAACGTCCTCACTTGAACGGCCCTGCATGCGGCCCTGCCTACGGCCCTGCGGGGTGACCTCCCAGGTCGCAGAACCAAGCTGAACCGTGAACCGCCCAGGCTGGGAGGCCTTTGTTCCGGCCGGGCTGCCGCCCACGGAACAGGCGATCAAGAAGATCGAACACCTCCGACAGGCCCGGTGCCGTGCCCGCCCCGGGCGAACGCGGCTTCTTCGCGCGGAGGTTGGGTTTGGAGGGGATGAATCAATTCCGAGGTCGATGCACAGAAGGGGTGGTAAGGGATGGTAGGGCCATATATTCACCAATACTCACCATGTGGATTTTTTCGAGGTTTCCAGAGGTGCTGAGTTTTTGGAGCGTTTTCGGGTGCCTTTGGAGTCAAGCAGGTCAGCGTTGTTGACCTGGTCGGTGACGACGTTTGTTGACCTGGTGGCCGAACAGTTGAGCTCTCCAGCACCTCAGAAACGCAGTGATACAATATACATATATATATATATATATAATCAATAATACCATAATATCTCTATCGAATATATATATATATATAGAGCTATATATTTTTATATACTTTTTGCAAAACTAGGGTCCTTGTTTCCATCCTGCAGTGAAAGACCTGTCTTCTTGCTACAGTCGAAGCACTCCCCCTGGCCACACGATCGGTTCTATTTCCTTCCTCCCTCGGTCGCCCACAGCCAGAGGCTCAACGAAATCGTGACTTTGACATCACGATGTGTGTCTTTGACTCCACCAACGCAGTTCCTGGGCGGAATTCCGCTATTAGCTTGGAGGCCATCTCTAGCTAGGAGGCCACCGCCGTGCACTCACAAGTCTAGGTATCCGGGCCCGGCCGGTCGGTCGAATGCAAAGAGGAACTGAACCGTCACACAATGGCCACGATGCATTTGCATAGGTGTTTTTTGGATTGTAGAAGGCAAATGACCGGCACTCAGCAAAAAAAGGTCGGAGCCCTTCAAATTCTGAACAAATCTGAACAGCATGTTCCGGCCGATGAGCCCGCTGATGTCCGTCACCGTCCTTCGGGGATCGCGAGGCCTCCTTTTTGGTTCGGGCCATCCTGCAAATCCGCCGTGCTTCGATTGCCTGCAGCAACCCCAGGCGAGCGGAAGCCACCGACGCTTTTGGCGTCCGCTTGTTTCCAGCGCTAGAAGCAGAAGTGTAGCAAAAGACTCCAAGAGATGCAACCTTTAAGCAACGCAATGATAAGCTGGGCATAAGGACATGTGGCCTGAGAGGTTTGAGGAAAGCAAGTAGCAGATTGTGACCTCTCCTTGACTTAAGAAATCTGCATTCAGCCCGAAATCCGTGTGCGATTTCTGGGCCTTTCAGTTCCCTCTCGCTTCATTGGGGCTTCCATTGGGGCGTGTCCGTTTCTTCGACCATGCAGGAACTGTGCGATTGACATCTTAGATGTGATCTCTTCTTTTGGCTGGATCTCGCGCTTTGTGTTCCTTCGGCCAGATCTTCGCGCGTTGAGCGCTTCGCTTCCTTCGCCCAGAGACGTCTCCAACGACCTCACCAACCGCCGAGAACGCCGTTTCGGGAGCTGTAAAACAGGGTGATCTGGCAGACCAAGGATGCCGGCACGTCAGAGAACTTTCCGCTGCTATTTTCTTGGAGACATCGAAAATTGTGAACGAACAATCATGCTGCATCTTTCATAAAAATCATGGTCCACGATTCTGATTGAAATCTGCTTCCCCAGCCGCGTTTTCGTTCATCTTGGCCTCACTCGCCGCACGAGCGCCGCACTCGCCGTTCGTGACGCACTCAGATCCATGGCGGTGTCCGACTGCATGGTGCGAGGAAGTCAGAAGGCGGTGTGGCCACCGTGTGGCGGTTTGGGCCCGGTTTGGAAGAGCGGTCTTTTCTGAGGGGATGACCAATGGCACGGGGTGCATATGTGCAGATGGGAGGAAAAGCGAAGAGAGATGACAGGTGCACGGGTTGGGAAGGTTGAGTATCTAGGAGATCTGTTTTTTCGTCTTTCGAAGCGGTGAGAGGGTTGGAGCAAGAACGCATGTCGCAGATCAGTTCTTTTGTTCAATGCAAATGCTGCTCATTCCAGCGAAGCATCATGAACATCACATTGTTTGCAAACTTTGGAATGACGGTGCAGAGTCGCAGAGTGTTTGGGAGTTCGAGGATTGAACTTTCTGTATCTTCTTCGTTTGTTTTTTTCCAATCCACCTACGGTCTGTCCACGCTTCTCACAGCTCACCCTCTGTGAGTTGGGGTTGGTCGACCGAACACGCCGGACGTCCGTCCTCCGTGTCCTCGAAACACGGAGTCCGCTCCGCTCCGCGTTTTCCGGAACGGATCCGAACGGGGGTTTCCTGCGCGTTCGTCCTCCGTCCTCCCTGGGTTTTGGGGGGAGGAACGGAAGGCACCGCACCTGGCGGGTGGTTTGGCGACCTGTCCTCCGCCAGACCCCAGGCGCTCTGCGCGGCGGATCTCTCGGCGCCTTGGAGCGGTTCCAGGGGTCGGGGAGTCGGTGGAATCGGTGGGGTCGGTGGGAGTGGAACACCGGAGCCGCTTGGTCAAGGGGGGGTGGTGACCTGGTGGGTGATGTAAAAGCTCAAAACAACAGGAATCGCCAAACAGACTTTTCATATCTTTTCATATGTTTTTTTCGATTTCTTTGTTTTGCTCTTGGGATTCCGATATGGTAAAGCTTCAAGGTTGAATGCTTAAAACCGTGAAGGTGGGCCCACCAACCCGACCAAGGGTGTTGGCCGGAGAGGCTAGGAACAGGGTCGGCCTTGAGGATGTGTTGCTTTCGAGCGTTGTTCACATACAAGTTCTTAGGCTCATCAGCTGGAAGTTCAGCTGGAAGCCCATGATCAGGGTCGAGAAGAGTCGAAAATCATTCAAACACATTCAAACTCTACCTGGACCTTCAAGGGGTGTCCTGTTTGGAGGTCCCTTAGTGGTGTAGGGGCTTCCAGCCAGGTGGCCGCTTTGAAGGTGCTGGTATATTAGATCCTGCAAGTGCAAGTGCTAATCTGCTAGGCATCTACATGAAAAACAACCAGACGCCCGACGCTGCTGGTCTTTTGATTGACCTCATCACCGGGGTCACAAATGGAGGTCCTGTGCGAAGAGTTCGACCTCCTCGGATTTTGATTCCATATGATTCCATGATCCATGTTCGATAGGAGCCTCTTTTCCGATCAATGGTGGGTGGCTGGGAAGGAGTCTTCTGACTTCGCCCCATGCGCCCGCCCACATGCGCCTCGCCCCGCTTCGCCCGCCCACTCGACGCCTGGTCTCGCGAAGTCGCCGCGCCGCGCCACGGATCCTGAGAACCTGGTCGCGGCGTTGAGCAACGGGCCAGCCAGTGGCATGGCCACGGTCTCGGTCGCTGAGCCGTTATAACGGGCCAGCCGGGTCGCTGGGGCGGAGGCGAGAGCGTTGTCTCGACCGTTTCGAGCAAGGCGGTTTGGCTCGGACCTGTCTGGGGTGTGAAAGATTCAATTCCTTGAGACCGTCTGGAAGAAGGGACATAGATGCTACTCAGCCAGGGCCGGTTCTCCCTAGTGACATGCACATCCATCTGACCCGACTAGAAGCAAAGAGTTTTGACAGGGACATGTCGTGTGGGCTTCATATCACCAGAAGACCCGTTTTCTCGGCACGAAAAGAATGCCTACATCGCCGGGGTGCTGTCAGACTGTGAATGATGTGGCCCTGAAAGGACATGTGTGCCTGAACCACAAGAGACCACAAGTGACCTTGCACATATATAAGTACAACATGTGTCAGTGAAGCACACATGCAATGCTGCTGCAGAAAGGAACTCCATTGTCTGCGAGAGAATGACTTCTCGAATGAACAAGGACGATACTAGGGGCTCCTGGCCTTACTACTAGGAGCAAGAATGCTACTAGTAACAAAGGGCATCGCTGCTAGGAGCAAGGTTGCCACTAGTAGCTCCTGGCCATACTTCATGTATATACAGTATGACTATGACTCACTAAATGGATGGCCCGCCCTGTTCGTAGAGGAACATCGTCATCCAAGAGTCCATGCCATCCACTTCCAGTCAGTCGGAGGGTGCTCGTGTCACTCGGGTGCTTTTGCTCTGGTTGTGGGACGCCTGAATTGATTGAAATGTCTCGTGAAGCTCTTTGCCACTTGAATCCACTTGATACCCATCAAGTGTTGAACTACGTGGTGCTCTTGATACAACCCCACTGCAGATCCTTCGAACGCGCCCGATGTTGGATGCACCCTGATGTTTGACACAGTCCACAGCCCGTTCGGAACAACTGGACTGACTCGAGTTAGAGGAAACGGACCACATCCATGGAGCTGCTGACTCGGGGTTCACATCTCATGCCTTACATCTCATCCAAACATGTCGGTGACCAAATGGAGACTCCAACGAACCAACGGATGGATATTGGAGCCCCAAAAACACCCACACCTCCCACACCCCTCAGGGAGCACGGAGCATGACTCTGGGCTCCCGACCCCTGTCGGTCTCCGAGGATTGTGCCGAGCTGCAGAATCCGGCGACGGAACTCATGCATGAACCCACCGCCTGAGGACCGGTCTCCCGGACGTGGTCGGTCTGGAGGTGGGATGAAAAAGGAATCAAGGAAGCAGTGGATGCAGAGCACCTTTTGGAGATAAATATAACAAATATTGTATTTGTGACAGACATATATATATATATATATATACAGGAATATACCGTATATATAGTTTTTTTTTTTTTTTTTTAATTAATCTAATTAACAATATTTTTCCTTTAATGTGACGTGATGTCTCTCCCACGATTATCGTCCTCCTTACTAATTACTAACCCATCTGAACAAGAGCTCCTTTTCATCACAGAATCCACCGAAGGGCGCCGTTCGGGTGCCTCCCCTGTCGTGGCGCTCGAACGAAGGACCTGACTTCGAAGCAAGTCCGTGTGAGTGGCTGCAGGCGGTGTTTTTGGGTGAGGAGTGCTTAGATGAACTGGCGTCGGCGGCGTTGGTTCGAGTTTTCAGAGGTTCGTGGTCCCAGCTTCGAGTTGATGACTCTTGGCTTTCAAAGCCATCGAAGGCTTCACAAAAGAGGTTGTCACAAGTGTGGGGACAAGGGTTTGGCTACGGCTCCACACAGCAAGAAGCACGGACCGCTAGGAATGCTGAATCTGCAGAGGAAAACGGACGAAATCCGGATGATCCAAAGCTGTATCCTACACGAAGGTACTTGAGCCGACAAAAATAACCACCCGGTCTTATGTATTATGATGTTGATTCTAGAAAGGAATAGACACAGAATGAAACAGAGCTATTCTTTCAACTCACCTAAAAAAGAGGGACACCGGGTTAGAGACCACTGGCTCAGAGTCGAAGAAGGGAGATTGCGGACGGGACTTTTGCTCCACGTGGGCCTTTTCGTGCGAAGTTTTCCTCCTTTTTTCAAACTTAGAACATTTTTTTCATAGTGTTTCTGGTTTTTGTCGGAAGTTGAGCCTTGTTTGTATGCTTCTATCGTCTTTGCAGATTTGGTGAAGGGGAAGAGACAAGGAAGTTCGAACGTCTCTCGCTGTTCATTTGGCGAAGACGGGACCATGCTTGGAGAATGTCTTTTTGGATCGCGAGCCAAACCTGCTCGTGAACCGCAACGATACGCTGGCGAAACTGTGCAGCCGTGCAAAAAGGCACCGGCCTTCTTGGGTCGTTGATCGCTGATGGGGCGAAGCCACCCGAAGGAAACAGCACCATGCAATGGAACCGTGCGCCCCCTCGGACGGAGGATTCTTTCTTTGACTCAGTTGACAAGTCGAACCTCCCAAATCAGCGAGGTTTTTCGTTAAATGGTGGAACAAAAGGTATTTGTCGTTTGGTTCTGAGCAGACCAGGTTTTGCCTTGGATGATCAATGTTGGACGGACCATTCTTGAAGCTACAAGGTCTGAAGCAGATAGCAAACAAGGTCTGAAGTACAAACATGGCAAGACTCGAAATCCATCCTCTGGACGATCGGCGATGACCCGACGATCGGCAAGGTCATGCAGCCTGGCATGCCATCGAGTAGAGGTGACCATCGGAACTCGTAGTTTTGTTGTGCCTGCAAAACCGCGGAGCAAAATGTGTTACCCAAGTACACCCCTCATTAAGAGCGAGCAATTCACAGCCTGAGCTTGTTTTTTTGGTCACCTTCTCACTCCGGAGAAAACACACTGGGAAAAAGGGTGAAACGAGGAGAAGGGTCTTTGTGTTCGGCGTACGTACTTTGTATCTTCGCTGGTCATCAATCCACCCAACCCAACCCAACCCAACCCAAACCAAACCAACCCAAGAGAAGAAGAGTCTTCGCTGGTGCCCGCTCCGCTCCTATGCTCAAATAAACAGTCTTTGGCAGCTGGACCCGCCCTAGGCGCAGCTGCATTTTCAACTGGAGCCGGTGGAAACAGGGGGGTTCAAAACCATTTGAGGTACAGACGGCCGGAACTGTAAGCTTGAAACATTGCCCAACAGCGGGAAAGCCACCACCTCCGACTGCCAAGCAAACCCGACTGGAAGCAAATCATTTTTTCTGACATCCACTAGCTACACTAGCCCAAGCTGACCATACTAGGGATACTAGGGACCGAACGAACCCCGGATTTCTCCGGCGCCCACTTTCCGACCGAATGTGCCTCTGTGTTGGGGGTCGGCGGCATGCTTCAGGTGGGGTCGGTTGAGTCGTGATCGAGTCTGTGACGGTCGGTGCAGCGCTTCCTGCAGACAGCCCAGTGATGTTTGCAAAGGTCATGCAATCTTATCACACATAACTGGGTATATGGGACAGCCCTTATCATGTTTGTGTGGTATATGATGCCACACCACTGAAAATGCCACACAAGCTTTTGTTTTCGACTGACAGGTGCTCCACGTTGGCGTGATTTCCAGACGGTGAATCTGAATTTTGTCAGCTCTCAGCAGCTTCAAATCATATGTTGCCGGTTTTTCACCGGTTTTTTGACACCCCAAACGACGGGCACGGGAAGTGGCACTGGACTTGGTCAAGCGACGGGCACACCGTGACCGAGAGGTTCAGAGAACCCGCCAACGTGAGGAGTCGGTGCTTGTGGAGGCTGAGCACAAAACAGTTTTTTTTCAGAACCGCATCGGTGCCTCTGGAGGCTTCGTGCTATTTTTTGAAACCTTCCATGAACCAAACCACCATTTGGCGTTGAGACAAATAGGTTTAGATTCTCGTTTTGCTCGTTTGAGACCAATGTATCTCTTTCCTTCTCTTTTGATGTGCCTCTTTGTGATCCCGTGGCGTCTCAGTCTTGGTCTGTTCGTCAACCACGTGACTCTTGTCTGTCTCTTCCCGGACCTGAGAGACGTTCCGACTCTTTTCGCAGCTCCGCCCGACCTCCGCCGGCCCGGACCGCACCTTCTCGCAGCTCCACCGCGGCGACTGACTCGCAGGTGAGCAGAATGGGCTCGTGATACATGTCACATGCAGTGAGACGAACAGGCCAGGTGATCGGGGTTTCTGATTGGCGCCCGGTCCGACCGGGTGGAGTTCGAACCCAGTGGGGAGACAAAGCCAGTTGCTACCAGCTGCTTCCGAAATCGGGGTTACCTGGCTGGACAACCCTACACTGCTTATAGGTCACCATTGGTCACTCATTGGAAGCGCTGGGTATGTTTCAAACTCTACAGCACTTTTCATAGCAAGGGTCTAGGTCAACTGAAACCGAGGCCAGTGAGGTGAGGCCAGTGAGTGTCGATGGTTCCTGGGTAAAAAACATGCTGAAGGTGTCGATTTCAGACGAAGGCGCTGTTTGGTGCTTTTCTTTGTCCAAGAGACACCTGATGAGCCAGCATGTTTGTTTAATTGTTACTTGGAGAGTTTACATCATTTGGTGTCCACCCCACATTTTCCTGGTTTTGCTCAAGGGGTTTGTTTAAAAATCTTTTTCCTATGGGTAGATCCCCATGTGGTGAATACTCGCTGGCAAGTGGGGCAAAGGATCGCATAAGCCAGCCGCTTGCAAGTTGTCCACCCTGTCAGCAACCAAGTCTTGGAAAGAAGTTGTACCTGCAGTGAAACCTGGCACAAAATCTGGCACAAACCGCTCCCAGCCATCTTGCGCATGTTGCAGGCGTGTGAGTGTCCACACTGTGCGATCCACGATGTTTTTCAAAACTGCTTGTTGAGCGAACGTGTGCTTGCCAGTCGGCACTGTCTGCTTTATGCCGTGCAACCAGTTCAGAATGCCAATGACCACGTTGATGAATTGGAGGAGCACGCTCCACCTGCCACTTGTCATGTCTACAGGCTTCAGCATGCTACCACCAAGCGGGGCCAAGGGAAAAAGATCTCGTTGAGGAGCTCTGACCGGCAGCTGCACAGGCAAGGAATTGCAAAGAAATTCACCCAACACTCCAGTTCCAGTTTTGGCGGCAAGGGCGAGACGGTAGAACAACCAAACCTTGTCTGATGGAATGGTGGAATGGCCATCTGCCCTCATCCCCACCATGACATTTCAATCATTTGTCTTGATGCCATAGTGAGGAGCATGTTGCCATAGTCGTTAGTATTGTAGTTCTCGATGTTGCTTGTGGGTCCTCGGGTTGTGTGCTGTGGTTGTGTGCTGTGTTGTGGTTGTGGTTGTGTTTGTGGTTGTGTGTTTGTGGTTGTGTGTTTGTGGTTGTGTGTTTGTGTGTGTGTTTGTGGTTGTGTGTTGTGTGTATGTTTGTGGTTGTGTGTTTGTGATTGTGTCTTTGTAGTTTTTTTGTGATTGTGTTTGTAGTTGCGTGTTTGTGATTGTATTTGTGATTGTGTTTGTGATTGTGTGTTTGTGGTTGTGTGGTTGTGGTTGTGTGTTTGTGGTTTTGTGTTTGTGGTTATGTGTTTGTGATTGTGTCTTTGTAGTTGTGTTTGTAGTTGTGTGTTTGTGATTGTGTTTGTGATTGTGGGTTTGTGATTGTGTTTGTGGTTGTGTGTTTGTGGTTGCGCGTTTGTGGTCGTGTGTTTGTGATTGTGTGTTTGTGGATTTTATCTGGCAAACTATCTGGTTGGGGTCCAGCGGTGCACACTGCGATCGGATCCTTGCGGTTGAGGTCCAGGGGTGCACACTGCGATCGAATCCTTGCGGTTGAGGTCCAGGGATGCACACTGCGATCGGATCCTTGCGGTTGAGGTCCAGGGGTGCACACTGCGAGGGGATCCTTGCGGTTGAGGTCCAGGGGTGCACACTTCGATCCGGAGCTGGCCAGACAAGATCGGCGAAGCAGATTGGCGATGAAGATTGGCGAGGAAGGAAGCAAGGAGGAAGGAGGAAGGAGGAGGACGAGGAGGCGGCGGAGGCGGAGGAAGAACAACTGTGATAAAATCTAACAACCCTCACCTGGCAGGTGGGGAAAAACCATTTCCTTAAGCAAACCCAATTCTTGGATCACTCATTCAAGTCATTTTTGGTGGACCTGTCAGGCGGCCCCTAGAACTGCTGTGGATTGACTGTGCAGACCAGAGGGTTTCTCAGACTGCAGCGTTTGTTCATGTTTCGTGTCGTGGAAGGAAATTCACCGTTTTTGGTACAGGCCAGTTGGCAAGAACCCAGGCGCACAAGAAGCCAGGTGATAGAAACATATTCAGTACCAGCACCTCCCTGGCAATTGAAACCTGTTAGGGCCTAACAACCCTCCAAAGGAGACCTGTTGCTAGGTGCTGGTATATAGTCACTGACGGCCAGTAGGCAGAAATCTTCCACTTCAAACCAGTAAGCGGATGGTGTTCAAAGTAGCGCCATGATAGCAAAATATGTGTTCACTATTTGCTTTCTGCAGTGGTCTCCCCGATGAACATGTCTCAACAACTTTCTGCTTACTGCAGTGGTTTGCCATGTGTATATAGAAGTGTATATATATATACAAATACATATATATATGAATAATGTTGACGCGTCCTTGAGCTAAGGTAGGACAAGAAACAACTGCAGTAAGTAGATTGGAATCTGCTTACTGCTGCTGTTTGTCATGTTATCCCAGTGGAACCCTTGATGCCGATAATGCAAATGATGCTGATCATGCGATTTCCTCAAAATTTACTATCTTCATTAAAAGCTCTTTAAGATGAATATGTGCACCCGTTTCCATCCGATTCCTTTAATTCTTCCTTAAAATCACCAAAATTCTCAATTTTCACAACCTTCCTGAAAAAATCGAACATTTCAAAAACTTCTTTAAACATCCTTAAAACATCAAGGAAAGCCAGGAAAAAATGAATTAGACCAGCAAACTATCTAAAGATATTGATTTTTCACAATCTTTCAAAAAATCCTAAATTTTAAGAAGTGGCCTCAAAACTCTCCAAACATCAAGGAAAGACAGGAACTGAAGGAATATGACCCAGAAAATAACTAAGAATTAAAAATCAACTACTTTTTCTGCACTTTTTCTCCTCTCCCCCTGTCGGGGTCGACTGTGGGGTCACCACTGACGGTGGGGAAGTGTATCGTCCCAAGGATCGATCGGTCCGGTCGCACAAGGGTCACTGCCGGGAACCCGCCGGTCGAGCCCCGGGACGAAGTCACGGCATCGAAACCGGGAATCCCCCTGTAAAGGGAAGAGACCAGGTTCACTGCCCAACCGTCAGTGGTCTCCCCCTTTAAGGGAAAGGAAATAGATTTCTGGCCGCTATGGTTGAAGCATTTTGTTTCCAACGGTTCAGGTGGCCTGTGAGAGGATCAGGGTGTATCATAAACCTTTGTTGGGGACACAGTAGTAAGCAGATCAGATTCTGCTTACTGCTCCGGGCTCGCGCTCCACAAATAAACAGCACCACAATATGCCTTCCATGCACTCTTTCACATTTCAATTTGCCGCTTCCCTTCTCCCCGCTTCCCGTGTCCTTCCGTGTCTTTCTCTCCCTTACAATTGTCCACAACTAGAACATTATTCCAGTGGAACTTGTTTCCAACGGTTGAGGTGAGGTAGACTACTGCTTCGGGTATTAAGTTACGGTATTCCTGTCATTTTGGTGGGTACACTGCGGACAGCAGTAGTAAGCAGATTGGCTTATGCTCACTGCCCCCCATTCTACAAAATAGCTCCCCCTCTTCCTACATCTTTCTGTATCTGCTCCAGCAATTTCCACAACTAGGTCATTGTGTACAGTATGTTCTTGTAGGAATTGTTATCAAGTTATCCAACATTGATACTTGGTGTTTTCTCTTCACTGCACCTATCAGTAGTAAGCAGATTGGTATATGCTTACTGCAGTCCGTTCCACAAATGGTTCCTCATTGCAGGGGCACGGCTTCAAAAGCTATGGTTCCACAGCAATTTCCAAGGCATTCCACTAGCCATCCTCTACCTCCCTCGCTGCCATCTCCTTCCTCACCTTCCTGTCCTCATTCCTCCTCCTCTCATCATTTTCAGGGTTCCGGCAACAATGCATGGATATTGCTGATTGCTGATGATCCACGTTGCCTCTTGCGAATTCAATCGTGTGATGTCTTTGCACATCTCCATTCCTCTACCATCTCCCAACCGCCTCTCTAACCCCTAGTCTTATGTGCACATAACTATATATATATACACATGCAGTAAAGCACAATCACCGCAAGAATGCGTCCAAATTGGACGGGGGAAGTGTGAGAGAGAGAAGGAAAGGGGACAAAGGAACCACTGCAGTAAGCAAATGATGTGCCGGCATCGTTTTGGTCGGTGATATTTTTCTGCTTACTACTGTGGTCTCCACATACCCCTCTATATATAAACCTAGGGAAAATGCTCAAATATACCCCCCGGAGGACAGTAGTAAGCAGAAAATTCCCTGCCTACTGGCCGTCCGTGACTATAGATGTTGTGACAAAAGATTCTGTGTCATCTACCCTCAGGCTCGCATCGACTTTTCGACTCAGGGAGAAAAAGAGAGAAAAGAGACAACAACCACCAACCCGATGCACAAACGACAACCCCAACAGGAACCAACTCTTCAAGAAAGTGCTTATTGACCAATGGAGGACCTGGACGCTACTAGGAGCAAAGGGCGTCGCTACTTGGAGCAAGGACGCTACTAGGGGCTCTCGGCCTTACTACTAGGAACAAAAAACTACTAGTAACAAGAAGATATATACTACTCAAATCAAAAAAGCGTATGTTCTCTCTATGAACCCATCTTGGGAATCGAGGAATGACATGGTAGGCATTTTTTGGGTCTTTTGAACAGGCGAAACCATGCGAAACTGTCGTTCGAGTCTGGGGTTCGGTTTTCAGGGCTTTCAAGAGCTAAATAGGGTTCCAGGGTGGCTCCCCGAGCCCCTTGAACAAAGACGAAGTGTGAAGATGGTCATGGGATGTTCCAGCCCATTTCATCCTTTCCTTCCACCATGATTCATCCAAAGGCTCCGCGGAAACCTGCGGAAACCGTGCTCTGCCCCGCGTGACCTGCACCGGCCCGCCGTGCCCGGCCGCGCGATGTTCGCTCGCCAGGGACGATGCCGAGGGTCGCCAGGCGGGGCTCGGCATCGGCGGCGGCGGGTGGGGGGATGGAGACGGACTTCTGGAGGAATGAGATCCATCAGGTGGTTTAGGACGGAATTCTGAGACTGAGAAAGCTGTGCAGGTCACGGTTATAAGTTATAAGCACTCACTCAAGATGACCAGCTTTTTGAGATCTCATGCAAGTCCATCCACAGTTTTTGCAGGCGCTGAAGGGCTGCTTGGTAGTACATCTGGGGTCCACCGGTAGGACCGGTCGAGCAAGCGAGATGATGTAGGGTCAAGAGGATTTGTTTGAGGTTTTCCTGCCTGATATGGAGATGGTGAGTAAACCAAGCCAGAAAGGCTCGTGAATGTGAAGCTCGGACCAGGTAGAAGGACGCAGATCAGATGAGGCGACGCAGATCTGCTGCTCTAGGAAGTGGTTGCAACACTTTCTACAAAACCGTTCTAGGAAGTGGTGTTGTGCATCCTTCTTCTGACAAGAACGGGCCACACACACGTCCACCGTGCACGGCGCCCTTCGTCCACTTCCTGGACGACCCTCGTTGGATGTACGAGATTCTTCAACGATGCGCCGACCTGGAGCATCGTTTTTGCGTGGGTGATACTCAGTAATTAGGCAAGACACATTGTTTGCTTCAGACTCACAGAGAACGACGCATGTCCACTGTTGGCGATCCTAGAACCTGATGCTTTGGAACCTCCAAACCCTGGTAGAGCCTGATCAGGAGGTTTGTGTTCGACAGCTTCATTCGGGGACAGCTTCTCTCCTAAACTGCACTTCTCCTCGAACATGCGACAACATACCTTTGGACAATGACAAGGCGATCAAGCAGACATTGTGTGGGTCAATGTACATTGAAAGCACCTAGAAATGGAGTCTATATTGTCCTTCCCTGTCAGCAGTAATGCGAGGAAGATAGAAATGCACTTACCTTCATTGCGATGTGAGCTTTCCGAAGCCTTGATCAGAAAAAGCTAGCTACCCAAGAATCTGAGCTTTGCATGTTCGCCTTGCGGCTTACAGTAGTGGCTGCTTTTGAGTGATTGTGATCCATGCTTAGACACTTGCGTGGTCGTCGATTGGGATGTCCTGTGACAGGACCTTGACATGGAAAAGGTGTTTTGGTGCTTGCTTGAAAACATATAATGATGCGAGGAAGACACAAATGCACTTACCTTCATTGCGATGTGAGCTTTCTGAAGCCTTGATCGGA